AGCAGGACATGCCCACTCCACCAGACCCTTTACGTTCTCTCCCATCACCCAGATTTAGGAACCGGCTCACCTTCAACCCAAACTCATCCAGGCGAATGGAGAGCAGAGACCTCCCTTTAAACGTCACCGGGTCCTGCATGACAGCAGCGTCTCTTCCCAGGAAAGAGATGGTCAACACCGTCCCCAGGGAAAGGAAGACGAAGGCTGCGTTGATCCGGATGTTGACTGCGGGGAATCAAGCAGAAGTTGGTCAGGGAGGGCTCCTCCATCAGCCCCCAGCACAGCCCAGCATCTCCAGGAACAGAGACCTTCAAGTTCACCCTTATCACTGTGGCGGCACAGCCAGCACAGAGTCACTTGGGCAATGGTTGCTGTGGGTGCTTTATCTCGCGGTGATATGGGCAATTTGTAAGTTATCAGGGAGGAAACTGCTCCTATCTCAGCAGACCGAGAGCACTCGAGTGTCTTTGGCTGTAGGGCTCTTAAAAATCATCCCCGCTGTCTAGAAGTTTTTCACTATCTTAGCCCACGTCCAAATCCCTGCCAGACCAAGCCCTCCTTTGACAGCAAGACTTGTATTATATTCTGCAAACAAACCCTCCAGCATTAACATAACTGTAAGCTGATGGGGTATCTATCAGTTGGTTTAATAAATTCAAATTGCTTTAATGAGTTAAATAGTTTTCAGGGTAGTTTAAACAGTTTTCTGTAGTTCGCAGGAAGCTGCTGTACTATAAAGCGGGTTTTTCTCTTGCTGTTTAAACCTTGCAAGAAATGCAGAGCCCCACTCAGGTTCGCTTTTTACTCCATTTGAATAGGGAGGAACCGCAAAGCATCTGCGCCCCAATGCATCTCCCCAGGGATTGCTGCTTCTGGCTCCACAGCCGAGGACAAGACGTGCCAAGGGGAGCACAGGACCCCATCACCTTTGTAACCTCAACTCACATCTGCGGCTTTCATTCTTCGCTTTGTAGTAGCAGTAGAGGGTCAGCATCACCAGGTCTGCGAACACGTAGTAAATAGCCGTGTAAACCTGCGGGGAGAAGGATGGGTTGGTTCTACCTACAGAAAAGCTGACGGCTGGGATCAGCCAGCGTCCCAGGGCATAGCATCACATCCTGGGCAGAGAAGGGAGCATCCCAGGGCTGTCTGGTTGCCTGGTTCCTAGTGCTGGATTAAGCATCCATCCTGTCTTGTCCCATCCCATCCCTCCTCCCTGGAGTTTGGGCTGTTTGAGAGCCAACCCAGCCCCAGTGAGTCGGTCAGTACCTGCAGTGGCAGCTGACTGGCCAGGAAGGACCCGATGAGGTTTAGGATGTCACCGCCCAGCCATCCCAGCAGAAAATATACGGAGAGAGCCTGGTCCATGATGCCTGTTTTCCAGGCTTGGTAAAACTGCCTGCGAGTCACACAAAGACACAAACTGTTACCCCCAGCCGGTTCAGCGCTACCTGGGAACCATCCCCAGGTTTCCCTGCTACTCCCACCTGGACCATTTTTGCAACTTCACCCACCCAAAGCACCTGGGGAAGAGGAAAAGCAGAGAATTCCTCGAGCAAAGCCACGTGCTACTCTACAAACAGGCCACCGTGAGAAGTCCTGTGGACTTCTCTCACTGGGTGCTCACAGCAACCCGCTGGGCTCACGCCCTTGTGATCCGTCCCTCATGCGGGGGCAGAAACCGCCTGTCTGGTTATGAAATAACCCAATGACACTCAGAGACCAAGCGTGAACTCCCACGTCCTCCTCTGCCACAGCTGACCCCAGCATTTCCACGAAGCCTAGGGCTCCTGGAAACGTTTCTTCCGCACGTATGACCTGCAATGACTGCATTGCAGTTGGCTTACGTGGGTTATTACAGCTGCCAAGCATAATAACAACAATGTAAGGAAAAACAAGGCTTTGGGGCTGTACCACCTGCTCCCTCTCCTGCTGTTAAACTCAAATTTTCCAAGCCCAGATTGCTTTTGCTAAACAGATTTAATAATTCAGGCGGCTTGCACTTGAAATTTGATTTTTAGAAGGGTGTTGTACCAAGGGAAGGGCTCAGCTGGGATTTGGGAGCAATACTCACGGAAAAGAGGCAGCCACAAAGCAGAGGATGGAAACCAGTCCCAGGACAACACTGGCGATGTCCCGGCTGTCCTGGGTGCATTCGTTGAACACCTCCATCACCCACTGGGACCCATTGGGACAGTCCGGAAGGTTCCCAGGTGGGATATCGTTCCAGAACCACACACCCATGGCCCCAGCGCTCAGCTCAGCTGAGGGAACTTTACTCGCGTCTGGCAGCAAAACTGTTGGGATAAAGCCGTGAAAAAAATGAAATAACACTGGGGACAAATACAGATATATTAGGAACAGGCTCACGGCTCCTCCGGCTGTGGCCCGAAGCTGGCTGGTGTTGCAAAAAACCTCATTATGGGCTAATACACCTTTACTGGCCTTAATTTCACGTCCGGCGGGATGACACAGCCGGGAAGGCCGCCAGCCCGGCAGGACCTGGCTTCAAAGTCAGCAACAACTCCCAGAAGAAATACTCAGGACAGGGACTCACCTCGCTCGCCGGCGGTGGCTTGGAAATGGGCTTTATCTTCCCTTTGGAAACACGCTTTTTCAGAAACTTTTTTTCTTCTTTTTTTGTAACTCCGCTGCTTCTTTGGAACTCGCTGGGTTTCCTTTGCAAATCTTTTTCAGAAACTTGCTGGTTTTTTTTCCCAAATCAGCGGCTTTTTCGGGAAGTTGCCGGCAATTTTTTTCAAATCTGCTGCTTTTGGGCGAAACTACCGCGGTTTTTTAACAAACCGGCTGCTTTTTCAGAAACTTGCTGTTTTTCTACACCCCTGACTTTCAGGAAAGGTGCTGTTTTCTTGTCCAAATCTGCCTGGTTGTGGAGACCTTCCCGGCGGATCCGCGCAGCGCCTGAGGGACGCAGGCGTCACCAACCGTCTGCGAATTCACGACGTCACAGCGCTCCCCGGCGCGCGGGGCGGGTGCTTTCTCCACCGTCCGCGTCTGGCGCGCATGCGCAGTGGCAGCGGCGGCGGCGACGATGGCGGCCAAGGGAGCGCGGCC